TGAGACCAGTACAGCTCTTCTGATAGAACAGGGGGGAAGAATCTAATCTTGTTATCTTACAAGGCAGCGCTGGCAGTAAAGTGCCAGATTTGCCAGCAGCATGTGGAATGTGTGTGTCTGTGTGTGCTGCATTCACCGCAGCAATGTGAAGACAGTGACATTTTCGCAGATGTGGAAGTGCTACTAATCGCTGGTTATCTCTTGAGGCCACTTAATGTAAACATCAAATAATCCAGTACATGAAGATGTCTGATGCTCTGTCCTCAGGTACATTGATTCGAATAGGTACTAACTTCTGTAAAAGAAATGCATTTGAACCAAAAATAAATGTTATCTGTTTGCAGCATTCAATCATCATCTCACTCTTACATGCTGTGTGATATTATTCAACAGGTAGCCAAGTATGGCAATGATTATAGAAAAAACCCTTTTACACAGTTATAACATTAGAAATGATCACTGAGACTATTGCAAAATATGGTCCTGATAGCCTCCTGTGATCCTTCACTACATCACTCACAGTAGGGGAGGAAGGGGAAGCACTCTGCACAAGGGCCGATTCTGCTGCTTTGCTCAGTGCAGTCCAAATTTGCTTACAGGAGGAGGGAGCAGAGTGCTGATCTCATCAGTGTGCTGCTTCTCCTCCAATGTCCAGTCACAGGTTAAGGGTAGGTTTGTGACCAAACTGTATTGCGTAACAGCAGTAGAGATGACTACGGTCATTGATCTGACTATGATGTCTGGCTAAAATGCCTGCTTTATATGACTGAACTCCATTACAAATCCTTTAGCAGTTAAAACTGCTCATGGCCTTTCAATGTTATCTGAGCAGTCCACTTGGCTTTCTATAATGCGTGGATAGCAATGTATTGATCAGTGTAGTTTGCAGGTTTAAGATGTTGCTGGGCAGTTGTCTCTAAGGGTATAATGATTAGGCCCAAGAGCAATGTGCAGAGTTATAATTGCCAGTTATAATATGTACAAATGAAGACTAAAGAACATGATATGTTCTATCAATAACCATTATGGGAATGCAATAAGCTATTGTAATATGGTGTGATTCATAAAATGCTAAGTATTATATTATTATTATTATACAGGATTTATATAGCGCCAACAATTTGCACAGCGCTTTACAAAGTGGAGTATTTATTTTACTTAAAGGGTAACAAGTCCCTTTATGTGTTGTGCCAGTGACCACAGACTGCCTGTGTGTGTAGGTGCAGACAGCATCACCACATTCACCACATCCCCCTGTAGTCTGCGCATGAAAGGGTGGCTCCAGAGGACCCTGCAAAGGAATGGAGCCACCCTAGAACTGCAAGGCAGGGCTAGCACATGAGAAGCAGTACATATTGATCAAAATATTTTGTCTTTAATATCACTGAGGTCTGAGTTGTGTTTGAGCTCTGTAACTATGAGCAGGTAGGGCTCACATTCCATACCATCAAACTGGATGTAGCAATGTCACAAATGATTGATTTGTAGTTAGACTGGGCACAGAAAATGTCTAGGTGGCGCCCTCTAAGTAACAAATTAGATGTTTTTGTTCACTGAAGAATAATCAGTACAATCAATACCATCATCCTACTAAAAAATAAATGAGTGGGGGTTATATGATAAGCATTGTATAGCCCAACACAGGCCATCGTCCATATGGGCAAATAACATTAAGCTAACATAAAATGGTAAACTCTATACCCCTCTCCCGAAAACAATTGCATCATATAAGCTGGATTAAAAATGGTAAGGCAACAAGAATTAATACTAGCAGTTTGAAATACAGGGATATACCCAGGTGCCATGTTACGACAGTGGTACCTAATAGACCCCTGGAACACGATAGGCAGGATAGCAGTCCTTGAAATTTACGATAGTAACAGTTCTGCAGTTATTGCAACCAGCGTAGGTTACCGCAACCATGAGAATAATAACCAGGTTTCCAGATAGACTATTTATATAGCCATGAAGAATTCAAGCTGTTGGTTAAGTAGGTCCTATTCAAAGGTATAGGGCAGAATAGTATAGTCTAGTGTGGCATAAAAAGAGCAAAGTAGTCTGCAAGAACAGGTAGGAAGGGCACCAAGTAGTTACTGGATTTGGGGGAAACAATGGTCCAATAAGTGGTTTAGGGGAACTGAGTTACCATGTGAAAGCCAGAGCCATGTGGCTCGATTCACATACTTGCAGTCTTAGAGAAGTAAACCAGTAAGACAAATAAGGTAACTAGAGAGGAGAGATCACCCAATTAAAGGTCACAGAGGGTATATTGAACTAACGGGTACAGGTGGGAATAAAAAAATTATGATTTTAGAAAAAAAAAAAAAAATGATGATTATGGTGAGTGAAAAAAATGTAAGGATGGTGATTATTATTATCACCATCTGCAGATGGCTGGAACTGTTAGGATCAAAGTACTGTTGGGATGACAGTGATTCTCTAGAGTCCTCTTGAGAGCAGAAGGCCAATGGAGCATTGGGGTGATGGGAAGCTTGCCTTGACTGTGAGGACTGCCAGGGATCTGGTGGGACCTCTGGCACCACATCTAGAAAGATGTCTTTGAGCTCTCTTTTGGAAGAGGGCATTTATAGAACCTTGGAGATCTGTAATATGTTCAGGCAGGCTCCGGATGCATGGGTTACCTCTGTCTCTTTTCTCTGCATCCTCCTAGTTGTTCTTTGGAGTCTGCAGTTGCTCTAGGAGCTCCTCTATCAGTTTCTCGTAGGCGTCCAACACAGTACTTGCATCGTCCATCTGAACCTGAAGTGAGAATGTATGCTGTCCAAGTTCTCTGATCTTATTTAACAGTTCAGGGGACGGTTTCTTTGAGACTCTTGTTTCTTTGCAGACCACGGATCAGCATTTAATAATAAGAGACTCGGCTGGTAGTAGTTCCCTGGATTGCATTTCTCCTGGAAAGAGATTCTGGCTGTTCAGTATGCTGTCAGAATCTTCAGAGGGGAACCAGAGTATTCCTCTTCTGGCAGGTTTGCCACCATATTGGATTCAGCCATTGGTTTTTCCGGTCTGCCCAAGCCTTCTGTGTGGACTTGCCCAATGGTCTCATAGCAATCAAATAATGTCTGCAAGGTCAGGGCATCAGTAGAGTTGAATTGTGTCCACGTCTGAGTTAAAAGGTCTTCTATAGGGGATGTAGTCTGCCCAGGTGGTGCAGTGTGGAGTCAACACACACCCTTCACTCTCGCTGTTTGCATGCACTGCAACTTTGATGCTTCTTCTATAAAACGCCATCAAATATCTATTCTGGTAGATATAATTCACATACACGGTCTGTATATTTTTAGTTTTTTTATTTTAAAAAATTTAATATTGAATTAGCTTTAGTGGATTATTAGAATTTATTGTAAAACTAAGGAATGACTTCTGCTTAAAGAGTGAATCAAAATGCCTGCTGGTGATAAAGTACATCAGTTCCTGGCTTCTTATATTTCCTGGTGACTTTATCAAAATGATTTCCTTGCCAGAGATTCCAGAACTTCCTTCAGCTGCTAGGTGGAGATGAATAATTCAACAGGTTGAGTGAGTTTCCATTGTAATGGCCGACGGTCAGACCTGGAATTCAGCTGTAGAATGCTTGTTGACTAAGGTCCTAAAAGTATTAGAAGCTGGCATTTCTGCACGGTGACTATTCTTTCCTGTTCCTCGGTGTCAGAAGTCTGTCAGGTTGAATTGTAAACAATGCAATCTCTATGTGGTTTATTCTCTAATTAAGTTTTGTGTTAGGAATTGTTTGTCAGGAATTGTGACTACTCTGCTAACACAAAGCCACTAGCTAGAGGGAATCCATCTATAATTTACACAGTATCAGTGTATATAGCTGCAGTACAGTGTGTCAGCTTTAGGTGGCAATACAGAGGCAACAGAAATAATAAAAAAGGTAATTTCTATGATATTTATATCCACAAGGTTCCGGTTTTATACAGGAAAACTCATGTATTTTGCTGCATGAAAATCCATCTCCAGTCAAAATCCCCATTCTTTTCTATGTAGCTGGTTCACATCTATGTGCTGCAGATGAGTGTGAAAGGAAAAGGGAAAGTATATGGGCTCATTCACACCTACATGTGTATGTTACCATGCCCGCTGCAATGCACACAGGACCGTGTGAACCTAGCCTAAATATAAGGGTATGTTTTCGTTTCTGAGTAGGGATGAGTAGAGTGAGTTTGTCAAAATTAATTTAGCCATAAAATTACCAATTTGGCCGCAAAATTTTGACACATTAGTAACTCAATTCCACTCATTGAGCCGAGAAAAGTGCTTGATAAAAGAAGGGGAGTGTTTTTTGGGGGGGATGGACCAATAAGGTTTTTTTTCGTTTTTTCATGTAGTGTTCTTGTGTTGTGTTTCTCATTTTAGTGTCTATTTGACCATTTGTGTACGTTTCCTTTTTAACCTATTTAACTTTTTTTTTCTTCTTTTTTTGCTAGCTATGTTTACTTTCTGTGAAAACACATAAAATAATAAGCCAACAAGGGGCCATTTTTTTTAGAGCAAGAAAGAGGTCTAGAAATTTCTCAAAAAGAGTTTCTTTAACTCTAAGGAGCTGTTCAAAGCTAACTGCACCCTTAAAAGCCACCACCTTCCCTATTGACACCAATTAACTTTTCCAAAATTAAATCTCATTCAAATGAAAGCCCTTTCTAGTCATAGAAATTAGGCCACATTTTGTAGCTGGTGAGGACCCACAGAGTTCTCTCCGCTCTATTGCTTGGAGGAGAGCGTTACTTTGACAGAACACATGATTGTTTTTTTTTTAAATTTACATGTTTTTTCACTTTTAACTGCGGAGGAGGAGGAGTTAAGAGGAGTGGCCATACATAGGACCTAATGTTATGTATGTATCCATGTGCACAACTGTTACTTGTACTGTGTTTGGTGTAGATAAATATACTATTTAGGGGAAATATTCTTTACTGTATTGCACATACCTACTTCCCAGTTTGTGGCATGACCTCGTTATATTTGATTCGGTACAGCAGGCTATCCTCAAGCAGCAGCACCCACAGTGTGGCAGGAGCCTCCAGAGCTTCCTTCAGGAGTAGAACCTATTGAGACCACACCATCTGTGCACTTCTCCGATGTCACTGGGGTCCCCCCCGATGCCTCTGAGCCAGACCCCACATTTGAGGATCCTCTGGGTAACAGTGATGGTAAGCGACATCTTTACATCACATCCAATGTGTGAAATGAACACTTACATGTCTGAAAGAAGAACTGTCTGTATTGTCCATAGCATCCAGAGAAATTCCCTTTTCCCATGCTACATAAGAAATATTTGAGAGCATTTGATTGGTTGGTTCGGGCAGCAAGAATAGTTCTTCCCTCGTGCACTTTTATGAAGTGGTCCAACACAAGGTCATGTTTAAATTTGTTCTGAGAACTAGACTGTCTCTTCTATTGACTAAAAGAAGTTATTATTCTAATTTAATGGAAGTTACACTAGTAAATTGGGACCATATTAAGTCAAAGGACCGCTAAACATAAGGTAAAAGAAAATAACTACAAACAATTAAAACTACGTATGTAAAAGTACGACCATCTGTACAAAACGTGACATTGCTGACGTATCTGAGACTTTGAATCATAAGGAAAAAAAGTCTGCCAGCAGATGCCCAAAAACTTTCCTCAGTAGCCTGTCGCCCTTTGTTACCATCCTAAACAAAAGTGGACATCCAGGGGGCCCTAATTGTAGGAAGACCAAAGATATCCGAGTTTCTCCTCCAGGGAGACCAAATATAACAAAACAGATATCTGTAAAGCTAAACTCTTGTATACAAAATATTACATGGTAACAAGACAAATTTTGTATTTTTGTGGTCCTTTCTGCAGGTTCTCTGGGTCCTGGAGCTGTCGCCGCCATTGTCCTGGCCGCCCTACTTGGTGCATCTGTCCTCATCGCCCTGATTGTTATCACACTCCGAAAATTCTCTGCTTCTTAAAATAAAAACAAATCACATCCACTCTTTTTGGGCAATCTGCACCTGTGATATACATTAGCAGAAAATAGGCCTATTCATCCCTAAACAATGGCTTGATGCTGTATTGCAAGAATTTGTGTGCTGGCTTCACTGAACCCAAATATTGTGAATATCGGGCCTCTAGAAAAACAAAAGTGACCCTCTCTGCACCAGAAGAAAGTAGAATATCTGTCTGGAATTCCCCATTATTATAACGATGTAAGGTGTACATCATACTGTAAATGTATTTAGAAAGATGAATCAATATTAAATAGAATATATCAAATTAAAGTAGGCTGATGCTCTATTGGAAATGTTTCAGGTGACAGATGCTCGTGCTACATTATCTCAATAGAAAAAGAAGGGGGGCAGATCTATCATTGAGAAAGATGTGCAGTGAGAGATCTGCCCCCTCCTTGTACTACCAGAGTCAGACATAAGCCCCTCCTTGAAGGAGGCGGAGACTTCCTTCTCTTTATTAAAGGGATTAGTGGCGCAGAGCTAAGCCAACATGTCCTAAAGTGCTCCTCACACTCAGAAGTTCTTATCATTTTTTTTATTTAGCACCTGTATAGCCTGACAAGCAGTAGCTGATCCTGTTGCATTTCTTTTATTGGCTGGTCATAGCAACTCTTAGATTTCTCTCTGTACATGGGTGTCTGCAAAGCCCCAAATCAACTGCAGCTGACCATTAACTAACAAAGTGCTAGCTTTTGTTAGCATGAGCTTCATGATCATATGATTCTTGGGTCCACCATAAGCTACACCAGATGGGTTCTTTGGCATGAACTACAGGATGGTGCAATTTGTCTTCCATTTTTAGTACATTGTATAGTATAAAATGATGGTATCCACCATATCCCATCTTTATCTCCTTATGTGTCCACACTATTTTCAAGCAGTACCACCCCAGGAAAATTAGCTGGTCAGTCATTTGTAGTGTTTGTACTCACTGCCAGTGGGGTAGGTGCTCTTTTGATGTCCATGAAGGTAATCTGTTTAGAAGCACAGCCTCTGATTCAGAACTTGCTAATGGAAGCTGCCATTCCACAACTTATAAAGTGTAAACTAGTTTCAGGTCACAGAAGACTGAAAATCACCTGTTTGGTTTAGGCCTTGCAAAAGAAATAAGGATATTAAGGAGAGATGGTTATCAGGGCCAACCAAGGGGGTCTGCTGCATGAGGAAATGAGCCTGGATAGGAAGCTTTGCCATATCTTACCTCAGCCATGTCAAGTCATACGGTAAATGAGAATCATCTGCATCTGATTGCTAATTGCATGACAGGCTAAGGTCACACAGGCAGCAAAGGAGAGGAAAAAAAAACCCAGACAGTTGATCTGTGTCCTTATCACCCCCTGCCTACAAATTAACATGGTAGCTGCTCAGGTTCATTTGCATTGCCACGGCTTTAATATATTCTGGCACTCCAAATTTAATTTGGCATATCACATTTGGCAGACAGTGCTGCTTACCAAGTGAACCCATTCAAGTTATTCACACACCGTTGCAGTGCGGTATTTCAATGTAAAATCACTCTTGGGATCGAAAAAAACAACCCGTGCATTCCAGAGGCGGCAGTATTGGCTCCTGAATGTCTGCAAAACTCAGCCCTCTTTAAGGGCATGAAATGATCAAATGATATGAATAAAGGTATTGTTGATATATTGTAACACTTACATAGCTGCAGCTATACAGTAGGTCTTACCAAATGTAACATGTACTGTACCTTTTTTAGATATTTTTTGGGCCCAGATGATCATATATTTTAAAAAGAAAATGAAATTATTTTGTAGCATCTTAGACAAGTTTGAGAGGTCTTCCAGGTTTCAGCTTCTTCTCCTCTGTGCAGCAAGTTGTAATCCATTACTAATTTCTTATGCTATGTGAAAAACCTTTATATAACCTTCCTGTGTATATATATATATAATTTGTGTGTAGGATTATGTTGCCTGTCAGCTTGTACTGTGCAGGCTGATCAAATGCCATGTCAGTTGTGAGAACCTGAACACAAGTAACACAAGTTGTAGATAATATACATATATTTATATAGAATATTTGCATCGCGTCACAGACACACCGCTCTTGTCCCCAGCCCAGCCCCCTATGCATGCTGGCACCCATTCCATCACCAGGGGGTCACTGCCGCGTCCGGCTTCCCATCTTCCGCCGGTCTTTGTTCTGGCTGCTATCATCGGCTTTGTGCACCCGTAAACATTCCTTCAGGTTCTGCGTCCTAATGTCTCTGTTGAGGATTTCCTCTGCCACTGTGGTGGGGAACCAGCCCCTTTCTTGGTCATGCAAGCGTTCTCCGAAAACCCAACCTGTAGGACAGCAAGAAGGACAAAACAAGCAATGTATTGGTGCTTCAATAAAGCTCAATGTGCTAAATACTGTATCTCTACTTCGTTCTTTCTTTGGAGCAAACCTTTTATTCAGAGAAAAGGAATGTTTTAACATTGAGAGCATCTTAATCCAAAAAAAAAGAAAAAAATTGGCTAAAGCTGGCCATGGTTACAAAGTTGATGGCCATTGATGTGTGTGAATCTGAATGCTACATGACATGATAAAACATGGGTGTGGTTTTATCAGCTTAGGAAATCCAGCTGAGAAATGTTTCAGCAATGGTTCCTGTTGTAGTCTTAAAGTGAACCTGTCAGGATGGAAATATGGAAGCTACCACACTGTCAGAAGTTCCAAACCTTTATACTGTACATCATTGCTCTTGGTCATTAATGAATGGCAGGCTGATATAAAAGACACTCATTTATGCAGCTCTGTAACCATTAATACATTATGATTTCTTTTAATGCAACTAGTGTAGGTAAATTCATTGGACTGGCTATTGGCTTCTTGCAATCTCCTATACAGTGCTCAGAGTGGGAGAGGGTAGAGCAGCATTAGGATACAGTCAGGTGAGCTGTATGCAAATAGGCTCACAAGGAACATAATGATAGCAGGGGTGAGCAGTAAGATGACCTCATCAGTCTGCTGCGACTGCGTGTTGTGTGCTGGGCCTATCAATTCAGTCCAATCTTCAGCAGTGGATGGACAGCAACAGAAATCCTTTAGCATCCAATAGCCAAATATCTATCTTGATGTGTTCCCTTTCAGATCTGTATTTAGCATTCCCTGATTGCTGCATGTTACATGTTGGTGTTTCTCATTGGATCTGGTGGCTATTGGCCCTTAAACCATTTTTTTATTGGGAAAAGGGTCAACAAACCAGGAGAAAGCATCAAATCCTACACCAAAAGTTACTTTAAGAAGGGCTTTAGAAAAGCAGTACAAAGTTTATGAAAGGTAAGACTTGTGCGGTGGGGAAAAGGGAATCTAGCATGAGGAAAAACATATTTTCCAGAAACCTCCGACAAGCTGTCAATATTAAGGCAATGAAGCTTCCACTAATCAGAGGAGGATTGCCATGGAATCGGTATGGAAATCGCCGCTTCTGGGACGGGTGTTTTGCTTTGTGACATCTATACTATGATCAGTAACTGGCTAAAATAGGCCACACACATCATGACCCAATCTAAGCCATTGTTTACATCTCTGCAATGCTACACAGGATCCCTCATTGCATAGAAACGCATTTTGCAATGTTGGGTGCGCTGCAGTGCTATTATTTCCTCATGGCACCCCAACGCAGATGAATGGCATGATGTGGTAGGTAGTGGATGGATGTTATGGGGGAGAGGTTGATGGAGGGAATGCTGGTATGATGGGGTTGTGGATAGAGATTATGATGGGGTGGTGGATGGATGGTATGATGTGGTAGTGGATGGAGGGAATGCTGGTATGATGGGGTGGTGGATAGAGGTTATGATGGGGTGGTGGATGGATGGTATGGTGTGGTAGTGGATGGAGGGAATACTGGTATGATGGGGTAGTGGATGGATGATTAATTATGCAAGCTTGCTCTACTAAATTCAAGCATGAATCAGCAGTATAAAAAGAATATTACATATGTAGTATTCATCATGCAGGGCACAGTGCTGATGTCCAAGTGTGATGGTATGATGGGGAGGTAGAGTAGTGGATGGATGGTATGATGGGGTGGTGGATGGTATCACAAGGTGCTGGATTGATGCTATGATGGGGTGGTGGATGGCTGTTCTGATGGGGAGGTGGATGGATCTTATGATGGGGTGGTGGATAGTATGATAACGTGCTGGATGGATGGTATCATGGGGAGGTGGATGGAGGGAATGATGGAGTTGTGGATGGCTGGTATGATGGAGTTGTGGATGGATGATTAATCATGCCAGCTTGCTCTACTAAATTCAAGCATGAATCAGCAGTTTAAAAAGAACATTATCAGGGTTATTCACAAAAGGGTGAAGAGTTTGCAGAACTCAGGAAAAGTGAACGATCTAGGACTACATAGCTGAACTGGAAAGTGAGCTGAATTGGATGATTTTTCTAAATCAGCTATGTTGTCCTAGATTGTTCACTTCTCCTGCCTTCTCCAAACTCTTCACCCTTTAGTGAACAACCCCGTATGCATATGGTATTCAGCATGCAAGACACAGTGCTGGTGCCTGAGTTTGGTGGATGGATGGTATGATGGAGTGGTGGAGGATGGTATGATGGGGTGATGGATGGATGGTATGATGGGGTAGTTAATGGATGGTATGATGGGGTAGTTAATGGATGGTATGATATGGTAGTTAATGGATGGTATGATATGGTAGTTAATGGATGGTATGATGGGGTGGTGGGTGGATGGATGATATGATGGGGTGGTGGATGCAGGGAATGCTGGCAATCTCTGTATTCTCTCCCAACCTTCTGTTTTTCCATGTTTCTCTGGCATCGTTATCATAAGGTACCCTGTAGAGAGGATTTTTGTGAAGCTGGTTCATGTACAGAGAAATAAACTACTTTCTAAAATCTAAAATGTTTTATGTATTTTATTCCAGTTTTTATAATCAAAAACATGTATGTTTAATGTATAAAAGGTTGGTTTCAGCCCATAGTACCAGGCACACAGAACTCCCGACACCAGTATTTAAAGTCTCTTGTGATACAACATCATTGCTTTCCAAAGCTGAGGGAAGCCACTGGCTGCATTGGGTGCCACAGTGTCAAAGCTATTAGATGCTGCAGGTGCCTTTTCTATGAGCTTAGCGATTCAACTGCTAAATTTCAGGCAAGCAGCTAATTACACAGTTGAAATTTGCATATACCCTGTTTCCCCGAAAATAAGACCTACCCTGAAAGTAAGACCTAGCACTATTTTTCAAGATTCCTGTAATATAAGACCTACCCTGAAAATAAGACCTAGTTTGGTGGTAGCATGTGAGGGGGAACTTTGCAGGAGAGATGGTATCGGCCTGCAGGGACATACTGTATTAAGGGGATGACAGGGGATTCCCCCCCAGCCAGCGCAGTGACAGGGAGCACTCCAGTACCATACTTGACCAACTGCTGTCACCCTGAAGGCACTGCTTAATGTAATGGTACTGTACTGTAATGTGTACCGGTAAATGGTACTGTACTTTACCATGCTGTCCACTGTCTAATGTCCCCACTTCCACTACAGTAGCACACCTTGATCAAGTACACAGGGTAAAAACACATTTTCAACTTGCTTATTGGACAATAAAGCAACAGTGCACTAAACTGCCATCCTACTTGTCACTCCACTCCCTCCTCCTGTCAGCAAGCTCATGTCAATACATGAACATGCATACCTCCCAACTTTTTGAGATAAGAAAGGAGGACACCTTCCAGCATAATGTATTTAGGCAATGGACACAACCCTGCCACCCCCTAAAATAGTTGGTTAAACCCAGAATTTAGTTTATTTCACCATAATTGTTCCTTTATACTGTTTTTTTGAAGTAGCAAACACGATCATTAAAAGATGAGAAGAATGTTTTAGTGCAAAAAAACACTTTTGGTAGTTGGATAGAACCTTTTTTTTTTTTATAGATATCTGTACATCAGACCAAAAAAGGGAGAACTGAGGAGGAAAGATGGACAGAGGGGTTTAGTTTCAAATGAGCGACAGTTGGGAGGTATGAAACCTGACTGACTCCTAATACTATCCTGGCCTCTCCCAGTGCTACTGTACAGTAAAAAAAACTACACAAGGCCATTATCCAGTGAGATTATGTTATTTACACTAGTTGCCTTAAAAAATAAATGTATAATTAACATTGACTCGTGTTTTTTATGGCTGCTTGGACCACAGCTTCAATAGCTCATATGTCTTCATTCACACTACCCACTGGCAGCTAGGGTGCACTTATGGCCATTAGGAGAACATGTACACCCCATTCTGACACCCATGACTAAGTCAAAGATTGTCCAAACCAGTTTTACCAATTATAGGGTCCCTCAGATGGACAATCAAATTTTGACAATAATCTCCCAGACAGTGTTGGTGAAGGAAAGACAGAGCCTTGTTCCTATAGGCACAAATGATAATTATCAAACCTGAACTGAGGAAGCATGGAGCTTGCCTTTGCTGACCTCCCCTTCTGATAATACTAGTTCTCTCACTGCCAGGATGATCAGATGGTTTTAGTACTTTCTGAATATTTTTCTTTGTCTTTATGTTTTCTCCAGGGCTGTGACTTAAGGTACCGAAGTCAGATTCAATGATCAGCAATGAAAGCCTATCTATTTACAGGTTTCCTTTAAGAACAGGTTCCCCAATTCCTAACATTAGAACACATGTAAAGAGATCATGGTGCTATTTTATCATGGATTGTGAATTGCTAATGTCTTCTGAAAAGCTGTGACTTTTATAATACCGAGAGAACCTATAAGCAAAAATCCAAAACTGAACAAGCAAGGATGACTGGAGACAAATGTGACCATCAGAGGTCCATTGGGATCACGCATACAGGAGAATATTGAAAGGGAGAAATATTTCTGTTTTGTGTCTCTAGGGTAGGAAAGGTGGAAGCAAGCAGAAACATATACAGTTCTTGTATTAAGAGACTCTGAGGCATAAAGTCCAGAACATGATTGTAATATGCACTGACAGATATACATAGGTGGGATCCTACATGTGAACATGTGATATTTCTGCATTAATATGTGACTGGATTACCATTGCCATTAAATCTCTTATAGTCCACTGATTAGAACTGCCAGGCTACCATTTGCTTCTTGTGCACTGCTACTCCTGACCACTGGAGGGGGAGATTTACCATCAAAGCTCATTGCATAAAAAAAATTGGCTTGGCTCTCTGCGTGACCTTTCTGTAAATATTACCCCAGATTCTCCAGATTCAGAAGAACAAACTACCTATCACCCTGAATGTTTTTCCATCCAAAGGCAACCCCTCTTCCAGCAACAATTTGAGACTTAACATCAGCTTCGAGGTGCAGATTTGTTAATTAAAGCCTTTAGAGTCCAGCATACAACCAAAAGAAAAGAAAGAAATGCAAGATATATAAGCTTACAGGACACTTATCCCAACTAGAGTATCCCTTCACCCTTCAGTGTGTACCAAAAGAAGTATTTGATAGTTAGAGGTTAATTGCATGCTACTAAAAATATATGTTGTTTAGTCCCCAAGCAAACTATCAGCTACGCAGAGAGCTATTGAAATGTGAGCAGAATAAATGAAATCTGATTGTCTCGTAGCGTGTCTCATAGTGAAATGACAAAAATGCATATTTGGAAGCGGACTATTTCCATATCCAAATAATAGCTGTGCAGATGAAATCTGTCACCGTGTCATAAATAGTTATTCCCTGTCATTTGCTCTAAAAGAATTTCATCCTGTTACTGTGACACATATATTCTGCTCCTGGAATCTGTCAGGCTCTTATGAGGGAACTCAGGCTTCAGGCATCCCTGGGGACCCTAGCCTGTCTCTTGCAGGATACATACCGTCATCTGTCTTGTCCAGGACATTGAGCAGGTCTGCCAGGTCCAGGGACAGCTCGTCCGGCTCCTGGGCAATGTATGGGTGGACACACTGCACCTGCGGGCAGTCTGAGAAGTGAACAAACAAACATGAGATATACTGCGATCTGCCTGTAGGAAGTGAGGCACACAAACAACACATGAATGAATGACGTAGTTCATATAAGCATCAGGCGTTTGTCAGGAGTGGGCCTAGTGACAAGGAGGCCCACTACACAAGTACAGTGTCAGCCCCCTTAGGAAGCCAGGAGATCAAAATGGAAAAACAAAATTACCAGCTCCCATTGCTGGCTTTCTGAAAATGCAGGCTCAATATTTCTGACCCAAAACAAGCAAACTTTGGGTGAAGACTTTAGGTGAAGACAGGACTCTTGATATACAGTATATACTTGCTCCAGGTCGGTAACCAAAGAAAGCATTAAAACCGCTGGACAACCATGGAAGCCAGCAAGGCAGGAGGTATTTCACTATTAAAGGTGTCCAGTGATATATGGCGTAGGGTTGTCACAGCCCATAGACTGTGTTTTGGTCACTCTGTTCTGTGAATACATTTCGGTGTTACAAATCCAAAGTTAAACTAGACTATGGGGTTTGGGTGTCGGGAGCAGGCTGTCCAGATGATCCATGGTGGTAGTTGTAATGTGGTTTAAAATAGACAATATAAAACCATTAATCTTGTGTTGAGGATAGCCAAACTAATGAACCAGCTGCCTGGCCTAGATGGAAGAGTAGCTGACCGTAGAATATCAGTACTGTATGGACTAGGTGCCACACAAAATTATGTTTTATTGTTGCCCGCACACACTTCTATTCCATCAAATGCTGTCTGTGGACACCAGTCTAGGGGTGCAGTGTCCACAGGTATTCCCATATTGCTCCAGCCACAGCTCACTGAATGTCCGCAAAGCAAGATAAAGCATGTACACCGCCATGGACAGTTCTCTACACATTTCCTATAAATATCTGCATATTTATATAAAAATGTTGCCCATTCAACTTTTGTTTTAGGATGCTGTATAATGTATTCTACCAGTCTTCTATGACAATACTTATGTCAGACAAACTATCTTGCAAAGGCAAGCTTCCATGGGACTCAGAATTTCAAATCCATGAAAACGTATTAACAACAGAGCCAGTGATGCACAAGATGAAATATGAATTTGTATACCAGCCAACAGAAAGAGCGATATTGTTAGTTTTGGTCTATTCTTCATTGATATAGCATAAAGGGGTTTATAACAATGGTTTATTTTCTCTTTATCATGGCCTATTTTTGTATTCAAATGTAAGTTAAAAATAGCTGTGCCTTCTCCGTATCATAAAGATATGAATGGATGGATATGTGCTTGTCTATTTTAATTCTTCACAGAAACATATATCCATCAGGAGACAGACAAATGATCTGTGGGGCCCATCATAGTAGCCAAACAGAAGGCACAGAAGTTCCTGTTAAAGGAGAACTATGAGGTGAGGGATTTTCACTCAACCTCATAGTTCGAGCTGACCTGTGACAATTAAACTGTCACAGGTCGGCTCAGTAGATCGAGAGGTGAGCGAACACATAGCGTCGCTCGCTCCCTTCTTGATCATGTCCCTGCAGAGAGCCATGACTGTCACTCAGGCTCCCTGCAGGGATTACCCCCTCCTCGCTCCGATCCTCCAGCGCTGACTGGTGGAACGGACCGGGGTGGGGAGCGGGTACAGCTGCCAATCACGCAGCTGGGTGGATCTCGACAGGAATGTCGGGATCCGTCCCGGTTGCCGCAGTCTCAGTATACCGCGAGCTGTAGCTCACGATATACTGAGCTTTGGTTCACGGGAGGACGCTAGTTTATGTCCTTCCGTGACCCTTATTAGAACTATTGGGAAAAACCCTTACCCCATAGTTCTCCTTTAAACATAGTTGGTAGTTTGAAAGCCTGGAACTTCTGGTTCTCTAAAGGAGGATCTGTAACCAGTAAGTTAAGCACTGAACAGGCAGCTAATACGAAGGTCATAGACTGGGAATGAGCAAGAGCTACAGCTTAAAATACCTTGGGGGGAATTGATGAATGTGTAAAAATGTGTAGGAGCAAAGACCAAAATGTCATGCTAACTAACCGCAAAGTTTAATTTCTGTTATTTTAAGCGCCTTATTTTAAGTGTTCTTGCAACATAATGTATATAGTTGATTCATTTCTTAACTGGGGAATCATTTTGTTCAGCATTTGCATCATTAAAAACCCTTCAAACTGGCGCACATTCTAGAAGTACTCCTGAGCTCAGATAATTCAGCTTCATACCCACACTCAGGTAAACACTTCAGGGCTATTCGGCTGTCCTCCAGGGGGTTCCCTGCAAGCTTGTGGCAATTTAGAGAACAGTTAGAACATGATCGTCGGGATACGACAGTTTAAAAGATGCTGATGATACAACCAAATTGATACATTCCCCCCTTGTAGGCACAAAGCCGGTTACTGTGAAATATTGGTGAAGAAAGGCATTGGATATGTGCCATGCACCCTCAAAGAATTATGGAAAAGCATGCATAAGGCAATAATAATGGGCAGTAAACATGAGCCAAAGTATTTATCTGTACAGGACCCTCAGCATTTAGTATATGCCATTGATATATACTGTATATACACTACAAATTATAATTATACTGAGATATCATGAATATATTATACAACTACTCCAACCCAGCTGATCATGAGATATGCAGAAAAATATGTAACTATGACTAGATGGTATTATTACTTACCAAAAACCCGAGTGGTAATTGAAACAAATTTTGTTCTTCGGTTTGGAACTAATGACGTCATCCACCGTTTCATTTCACTCCTGAAATCAAAGATCCATTTTACATTTCATACATGAAACATGATGGGCCTTCATGATAACACCACTACTGGAATACCAAGATCTATTCTATAAACCTATAAACATAAAAATGACCTGTGAGAAGGGAACCTTTTACTGAGGTCTGCTGAGGGTCAATGGAAACAGAAGAAGGACTGGAAACATTTTTGTGCACAGGAAAAAGATTACCGGATATTCACACTTAGGACTTGTAGTGATAAGAGCTCCCAGAAAAGACACAACACTCCTCTGCTCACTATGAAAGCATCAGAGAGATAGGTAGACATACAGTACCTCCCGACTCTCTGATAAAGAGGGACACCTCCCAGCACAATGTATTTAGGCAATGGACACATGCCTCTCACACCCTCAGTTATATGGAACATTAAGAATTTATATGCCAAAAATGAGTGATTAAACCTAGAACTGTTTTCTTCAACACTACTTTTCCTTTATACTGCCACTTTGAAATAGCAAACATGATCATTAACAGATAAGGTTTTAGAGTAAATTAACACTTCTGGAAGTTAAATAAAACAATTTCATAGATATCAGGACATCAGACCAAAAAGAGGGACAACTAAGGTGGAAAGAGGAGCAGAGGGGTTTGGTTCCAAATGAGGGACAGTTGGGGGGTATGGGTAGCAGCTATGACAGACCATACAATTTTCATGTACACTTAACTAAACACTGGAAATACAGTATAATGTCCAAGGTGTGGATAGCAGCTAGTAGCTTCTGGACACTTTTACAAATTGCCCTTTTATTATATGTACATATATTGTACAGTATACATTATAAAGGATGACGGCATTGAATCTAGTAAATTATATTATTCATAGTAATCGGATTTAAATGCTGCATCTCTAAGCGCCATTAAAAGAATGACAGTTGGAATCAGACGGGTTGCTGTGTTATTCTTCATGTAAACAATCTGGTATAATAACAATCTCACTAGTGACTACAGACCAATATTAATCAGTATGTATGCTATAGTGAAGGTGCAGGTTGGTCTTTCTTCAAGGGTTGCACTCACTGGGATAAAGCCTTTAGCATATACGTAAACTCCCTCTCATGTGCGTTCTCCAGCAGTTTGAGGATAAAGACGTTGGCGAAGCTCTGGCCTTGGTCTTCCAGTTCTTCTACACGCAGAAGGCCACGTGCTGCAACATCAAACACCTGAAACCGATCCCTGTCAGAAAATGAGAGAAGTGAGAAATTCTATAGCAGCGTATGTGGCACATAATGCAGGAATATAGCAAGCATATTACGGAACTGATACCGCCTCTCACAAAACAAGGAAGAGAAGTGGACTATGGCACTACAGAGACACCTGCCATGACTTTCCTTGGAAAATTTACTCTGAATTTATGCTGAACTCCAAGCAAGCCCCTAAACACATTGTAGAAATACATATCACTGCCAAAGAATTTGTAATTCTTTGCTGCCAGTTTTGTGATCCTGTTGCACAATAAAGCCAGATCCTTGGCTTCCAGACCTCCATTACAACAGCAGCACAATTTAGTCAAAACCACCGGGTCAAAAACTAATCTTGGCTTGGTGATTGGACCATGAAGCAGCACACCACTGAGGTCACCCCTCTGCTCAGTATGCTCTCTTCTACTGTCAGAATATTCTCTGTCAGCACATGTCTATGCAGCAGAGCCTGATTGGTTCAGAGTGATGCCCCCCCCTCTCCCAGTTCTTCTGTACAGTGGACTAGAGTAGGCTCATATCAAATTCAGGTAGTTACACTATTTATGTTTTTTGCCTTTAGTATTACTTTAAATATAACTATAATCTTTCAATGGGGACACTTGTTCCCATGACAACTGTCTAACAAAGGATTTCCCTCACATTGAAAATATATCCTCCCCACTTCCTTCCCTCAGCTGAGTCTATAGGACAGGAAGTAAAGGGAAATCTAAAAAGAAAACCTGACTTTGCTTTTAAAGGAGAACTATGAGATGAGTGCTTCTCACTCACCTCATAGTTCTAGCCAACCTGTGACAATGAGACTGTCACAGGTCGGCTCAGTAGATCGGGAGGTGAGCGAACACATACCGGCGTTCGCTCACCTCTCGATCCTGTTACGGCCCTGCCGTGACAGGTGGAGGGGCTGGATTCCCCCCTCCCCGATCCGCCAGCTCTGACTGGAGGAACAGACGGGGGAGGGGGCGGGTACAGCTGGCTCTGCCTCTAGATAGGCAGAGCCAGCTGTCAGTCACGCAGCTGGGCGGATCCCGGAACAATTGTCGGGATCCGCTTCAGCTGCGGCGTCTCAGAATACCTCTCAGAAGCTACAGCTCGCGGTGTACTGAGCTTAGGGTGACGGGAGGACGCTAGTTTGTGTCCTCTCGTTACCCTAAGGAGAACTATGGGGAAAAGACTTAACCTCATAGTTCTCCTTTAACTAGGGATGCACCGAAATTTCGGCCACCCAAACATATCGCCCGAAAATGGCACTTTTGGCAAAATGACGAAAGTGTCATCTCAGCCGAAATAGCGGTTCTATATCTTCTATATTGCAATATACAGTACATGTTACAGCAGCGCTAAAGTCAGAAAGTGCAGCCAGTATACCACTAATCTGACCATTACATTGTCCTTTACAGCCCAGTTCATCAGGTTTATTGCAGTGATTGTGGCTGCATTTCTTATGATCTGTGTTCTGCGGCCACCCTTTCAAGGCCCAATATGAGTGGGCAGGGCTTCAGTTTTTGACATTATAAAAGATTTTGCCACAATTAATATTAAAGTGAAACTGAAGCCAAAACCATATTTTAAATTTTGAATAGAGTGGCGAGGGATTAGAAGACCTATCAGGTTTCTATTGCTGTCTGTGTCCCCACCAGGGTGATTCACCCTCTCTATTTGTCCTGGTGACCATTATCACTGAAAGTGAAGTAAAATCCCAAATTTTGGGTTGTCATCAGAACAGGAATAAATGGGAAATCTTCTTTAGACAATAGTTCTGGTGACACTGCTGACCACAAGTGATTTCCCTGATTTTGGAGACATTATCTCTCACTTCCTGCTGTGACTATAAGACAGAAAGTGAAGGAAAATCTCCCAATGGGACACAGATGGCATAAAAAGGTGGCAGGGGTTATAACCCTCGCTTATTCTATCCAAAACGAAAAAAAGATTTGGCTTCAGTTCTACTTTAAGCTCGTAGGCTGACCTCCGTATGCTTATCCAGAATATACCATTAACATGGAGCTGCTTTTATCATATGCCACTCACCCAGGCTGACGCTTGCACAGGAGCAGCAAATCGTTGAAGAGGAAGAGATAAACTGAGCGGAAAAGTTTCTTTGTGCGGAGGGTGCGGGATGTGCGTGGTCCTGACATTTGTTGTAGTTCACCCTGCTTTAATAGCCATCGTGAGTGAGAAATGATGGGTACAGACTGCAAAGAAGAGAGAGGAAAAATGAACAGGAGGGAAATACAGAATAAGTGTATGGGGTTTAGATAAGTGTGCTGTGTAATGTAAAATTTTTAGGTGCTACCCTCCTACCCTCCTCCTGATCTTTGAGGGTCAAGCACAAGTAGAATGAGATACAGGACTGAATCAGTTTTTCTGATTCACTGACGATGGCTCTACCCTACACAGCAAGTGATTAATCCCTGGTGATTTGTGCCAGTTCTGAGTACATAATACTACCTATCATGTATAAGACCTGAAGAAGGGGGAGGTCTTGGAACCCCCAAAACGCATTAATATTTATGTGGTGTCTTTATGAACCCATTCTATTATTAAACTTTTTGGACTCTCATTCGGACTTGTTTGCTGCTCTCATTGGACTGTATATATGAGTATATCTTCAACCCTGGATTCCCTTGTATTTAGGATGTCCCGTTTTTGTTGAGAGCAACCAACGTTCACGACAAGTAAACAGAGCCAAGAATCATATATTTCACAACCACACCTTCTTTATCTCTGAAACCATTTTATTGCTTTTGCATAAAGGTATGTAAAAATATTTTATGCGCCTTTAACAGCTTTCTCGGTGAAGGCGTTCTGGTGAGATAGATGATTTCTAAATTACTGCGTGACCCCCATAGCTCTGATCACAACAACACGCTGAGATTATTCCTGAGACTTTAGACTGTCTAGAGTGCAAATGCGATAGATCAATTTAGTTAAACAGTGGAAACGCATAGAAGAGTCCAACAGACTAGTCATTCATTTCAAATGCATGCAAGAAAATGCCAACCATAACCCCACTCTGCTGTCTACACAAAATGCTGGGTCTTGTTTATAATATTCTATAACAGCTGTCTGTATTGCCTATGACCGATCAGACTTCGGATTGGTGGCTGTGGGCAATACAGGCAATTCCTTAGGAATTTTTTTTTAATTATTATCAATCTTTCTTGATAATGCGAAGATCTGACTATTTTCTAAACAGGGCATTTTATTTAGCTGTCCGTCAGGTTTTTTTTTCCAGATGGACTGATCTCGGATCTTATCTATATGTTTACTGGAAACATCTGAGCAGGGAAAGGATCGTTTCATCTCAATTGTACTTTCTCTGGGCTTGATGTATGAAAACTGTGCAAATGGTAGACTTTACCTTCAAGCTCTCATTTCTACAGTTTAGGTTTTAAAGTAAACTGTGGTTATCGCTTAGGATATAAACAAAGCACTGCAGGCATTAGCCGTAGCATATGTTGTTAACTGATACCTTCTCTGTCATGATACCCCCACCCCCTGATCAGATGAAGTGGCTGTGAAAATGGTGACTTTCTACAGGGCCTGCTAATAGATCATTTGGACCCTATGGGGTAGAGAAGAAATCTGATGATTAAATTCAGGAGTTTCCAGTGAATGGCACTGCTAATGTTACAGCAAAGACAGTTTAGGCAATTGTGTGTTTCCAACCTTGTAGCAGCAGTTTGGAGAAGGCCCTTTTCTGTCCCATTATGACTGTGCCTAAAGCCAGCTTCATAAAGACATGGTCTGACAAAATGGAGATATCAGTATCTGTCCTCACAAATGCTCTTTTGGCTGAATGGGCACAAATTGTGATTATAATGTAAAAAAATGGCCCATTTAGAGGTCTACAAATTAGATCTTTTAGCTGATTGCCTTCATACTTTTAGTAACTTTGATAAATATAGCATTGTAATTAATTAAAAACAATAACAGGTTTTTATACAGGGATCTGCCTGCATTATTTTATGTCCTGGCTCATTACTGCGTCAGTGTAAGAAACCTAATACCAGTATATTTGCCCCTGAGTGACAATTGAATCATATTGCCACCAGTACTAAAATATAAAAAAATCAGGTGTTATATTGAAAGGAAAAGCAAGCACGGCTCTATGTGTTTGTCCTAATAATTGTACCCACATGATAAAAGTACAAATTAGAGTGTGTATGTAGGGGATTTGGTGGAATATTGCACTTCCATGTTATTTCTTGGGCAAAACTCAAATCTAAGTATCTTGTGAGCACATTGGTCAACATCTTTCTCTGCTTGTGTAGAATGTGTGTAAGAAGATTTTTTTGTTGGCTTCAACTGAGAAATCTTCCAACACACACTGTGAGCATGGCAAGCCAACTAGAAACAAAGTGCCTGGTGTAGTTCATCCAAATCAGCTGACATCAGCTAAAGAGTAATATCTTCAAATCATTTTCACTTACAGAATTCCCTCACATGTTAAACCCTTGAACGTCTTCCTTTGAAATAATACAATTAGGAGATTTCATTTTTTCCCACCATAGGAGAAGACAGATTCCATACCTTGATCTTAAATTCAAGTGTCTTCTCTATGCTAATAAGCTGCTCTGTACGACTCATCTTCCTGACTCCATCATTACAGGCTCGTACAAGCTAAAGAGGCAACAGGAGAAAAGCCAGTGAGACACAGAGACATATGTATATAATACAGTTTAGCTGTTGTCTGGTTTATGAAAAGTTGAAAACCAATCTAAAGGAAAGTTGTGGTGTGGACTATAGCAATTGCTATACTACTGGTCTACATAATTGAACAGTATATTGTTGAATACTAGGACATACTAGGACATTGGTCAAGTTACAATTTTACTGTTGCGTTTGGTAATGAGCGCTCAAAGGGTTGCAGCCTTAGGAATAGCTATAAAGTAAGAAGACCTAGCTGGAACCTAGTGATTTTGAAAAAATTTTTTGCAAATCATTTATTTTAATATTTTTACACTTAGAAACTTTTTTTTTACACTGTGTTGTGTCCTTTAAAAAAAAAGTAGGGCTGGTACTGATTCAAATTTTAATAACCTGGAAAATCAGGCAAGATATCTGACTGGTCACATTAGACAATTACTATATTTTTTCCAGTTTTCTCCAACTTTTCCTACAGAAAAGCTAACAGTGTTAAAATATAATAAAAAGGGTTAAAAATCATAAAAAGGTCATTCCGGAGTATGTGATGTTAGAGATTACTCAGAGGCCTAAATCAGTTGCCTATTGTTACATTACCATTCAGTACCACATTGATTTGTGCTTAGAAAAGCTCCCCATCATTTCGTATGTGTACTGTACTATTTATACATCTCTTGCGGCATTATGGGTCATTTCTGTTAAATGAGTCACAGTTTATTTCTCGGGAATTTTGGTGTGATGCATTTACAAATACTGGCTTCTGTTTTTTTGCTTCATGTTTCTAAACTCCATTTTTCATTTGGTTTATACATCACCGCGCTAAGTGATTCTTACTTTCTCCAGTTCACGGTGTGCTTGCAGTGCTGATGCCTCTCGCTCTGAGCCCTCCTCGACTTTAGTTAGGATATTCTGTCAAGTGAACAGATACGGCACCAACGTTATTATTGAGAACTTTGAAACAAACAGAACACTTTGAGCGTGCATTGAGAAGCAGAGACCTTAAACACAAGTGGCATCCAAGTGGTGCTGTGTGAGTCACATGTACTGTATCATTTGTGATGTGGCAGCAACCTTTCAAGAGGTTTTCAATACACACCTACTAGAATACCTGCTGGATTAAACACTTGCTTTAACCACGAAGCCAAGCACACAGCCAATAATGTGCCAAAGAGTCCATTCCAGACAAACATACAAATTCAGCTCTCACCTTTACTGAGAGAAACATAGGAGCTGCCATTGTTGACATCACAAACTGAGAGTAAGTACGTATCGAAGAAAGTATGGCTTTTCTTTGACTTTCCTGACTTCTATGCTTATAAAGTGTTGACTCCAGAGGCCACTATAGCATCTAGGCAACTAGCTTTTTCAGAGGGAGGTCAGTAATGGCAACCTACATATTTATCCAAGCAAGGGATTGCTTAAAATTGACAGAGTGGCTCTAAAGTTCATCTTGGGCACTTGCTGACCCTGTTAGCTAAATCCCCTTTGATGCCTTGATCATCTAAATGGCCTTGAATCAAGAACACCAGTGTATTTCATTGGCCTGTGCACCCACCACCCTTTGGGCTCATGTAGATGGCTGCTTTTAACAAATGCTTCCTTTAACATCTGAATGCTCAAACGCATGCATTTAATTTTCTGCAATGCAAATGCAATTCAATAGAACCAGCTTTGTCCAATGAAATGCAAGCAGTTTAAAGGCAGCATAAGAACTATCACCCACAATTATTTTCTAATCACACCCATAATCACCATGCCTGAACTAAATGAGAATCGACTGCCCTGTGTTTAAGGTGCATTTGAGATGCACATCAAACATTGGAAAGCAATGCCTGTCTACTAGGCCTTGAGGGCCCATTCACATAAGCAGCCATGCCACACCGTACGGCCGCTGGGGTGCGTGTGCCCGGCCCAGCACAATGCTGATGGGCTTGATTGAGATGCATCGCACAGTTTCTTCTTTTTGTTAGAACTTTATTGAAATGTCACAGTGACATTTCACTAAGTTCTATGGGCGCACTAAAGTGGGATGCGATTGTACCGAGTTGCACTGCAGTGCACTGAAGAAAAGTATTGCATGCCATACTTTTTGTTTAAATTTGGCTTCAGTTGCACTTTAACACTGATCTACTGCAATATTATTCTCATATATTGGCACGTGAGAGGTCCTACATAAGGGCAATGCAGACGCACATAAGGGCAATGTGAGCATCTTATTGAATCTGATCGTAGTAGTTGCAGTGTTCCCTGAACAGTGTCAGCAATTTACTGTCTGATTTAACCTGTTGCTTGGATGCAGTTTATCTTTATTATGATCATCAAACAGATGTTGAAGACATACAGATTACATTGATCCCTTATGATCTTCAGAATAATATTATGGCGTTTCCACACAACCGAGATCTGTTTATAGAGCATGGAGAGGAATGCTTAACGAAAGACAAGCAGTGAGTCCAGTCAATAGTATTTTGCTAGCAGTCTCCTATCATCATTCAGTAAACCTGAAGCTAACTCTATCTATTCCACAATAAAGACATAGAAACAAACACTAACATACATACTTGAAATAGCAATCAGTTAACAGCGCCATTAAAGTGTTGTGATCCGAAACTCTGCTGTGTGACGCATGAAATGTAAAAGACATTTATAGCAGGGAGTGGCTGGAATTTTTATTCCGTGCAGCCAGATAATAATGGAGACAGAAACCAAAAAGATCAGGTATGTGATAATATTAGAAGAAAATGGGAAGGTGATTGTCTGCTTACAGGCCTTCTGGTGAACACTTTCCAATTTACAAGATCTGTACACACAAGGATTACAACCAAATACATTGTTTTTATATAACACCTTTCCGTCCTCCTCCTCCTAAATGAATGTCTATTTCTTTCATGGGCTTATTATTTCTTTCAATACTGTACTAACCTAGTCTAACATTCCACCAAGAATGATCAGCTATTTGCTAAAGGACACCGGACACACTAAAATCCTCACAATATTCCTCCTCACTTCTGCACATGGAGCACATGATAAGATAAAACAATGGAAGAAGCACAGTATGGAATACTTAAAGTAGAATTACATTCTCAACCTTTTCTCCCAATAATAAATCCAGATCCAACCAATGGCGTCACAAGGGGGGTGCGGCCCGCACCCGGGTGACACCATTGGAGGGGTGACACCAAAATGACGGACAGTCATTTTAGTGTCACCCCCCTCTAAAAATTCGGCACTCGGTCATGGGCCGAGAGCCTGGCAGTGTCAAGAGAGAGGAGGGGACCTCCTCATCCCGCCGGGTGAACGTCCCCTTCTCTCTCTGCCAGCGTTCATCACCAAGATGGCCGCCGGCAGGCATCAATTAGATGACCGCGCATGCACAATGACGTCACGGCGGGGTGTCTACCGGTCTCCGCTCCGGGTGACACCTGGCCTCGGGACGCCCCAGGATCCAAGAAATATACAGAAATATACAGTACATTGCCCAGCAAAGTACTGTATTTCTCTCAATTTTTGCCCCAAGCACTAACAGTCACCATTTTTCTGAACAGCTCCAACTCTCCCAGCTCAGCTTCCCTGAACTTCCTGTCCACTACAAGATCACTAGAGACAGCAGCTGTCCATCTACTAGCTTGGAGAAGGGAGGGAGGAGGACAGGGAGGAGGACAGGGAGCAGGGGAGTGGATTGACTTACTGTACCTGTGTGTTTGTGGAGATACACACAGCTTACTAGCACACACAAAGGTGGCTCCAAAGGACCCTGCAAGGGAAAAGAGTCACCCTAAAACAGAATATCGGGGCCAGTGCTCAGGGGGCCAGCTGATTCTGCCAGAAACACACTTTTAAGCCTCAGAAAGCAGCATCAATTGTAAGTGATTTCATCAACATTTGAAATAGCTTAAAATCCTTTTGACTTTAATATCACTTTAGGTGCAGCAAAGCTCCTCCTCCAACACCTTTGACATACTTTCAATCTCCATGACTAAGTGGTGAAACTCATAAAAGAAAGCTTTACAGGAGAAAACAACTTGTCTGGCTCAATAAAGCAATTCCATGACTGGAGAAGCAGTGTGCAGCTGCTATTATTATTTTTATGTGGCGGAATGGCTTGACATATAGAATGCGTGGACGGAGGTCTGCACCTGCAGTGGTTTGTGACTCATACAACAGCAGAGCCTGGTGCACTGCTTTCTATGTAGTTGTAGTGAAGTCGTATTTTCCACTGATGAAATACAATTTGTGCATCACCAATGAATTCCACATACACTATATTGCCAAATGTATTGGGGCGCCGGCCTTTACACGCACATGAACTTTAATGGCATCCCAGTCTTAGTCCGTAGGGTTCAATATTGAGTTGGCCCACCCTTTCTCGATATAACATCTTCAACTCTTCTGGGAAGGTGTCCACAAGTTTTAGGAGTGTGTCTATGGGAATGTTTGACCATTCTTCCAGAAGAGCATTTGTGAGGTCAGGTATTGATGTTGGACGAGAAGGCCGGGCTCACACTCTCTGCTCTAATTCATCCCAAAGGTGCTTATTCGGGTTGAGGTCAGGACTCTGTGCAGGCCAGTCAAGTTCCTCCACCCCAAACTCGTTCATCCATGTCTTTATGGAGCTTGCTTTGTGCACAGGTGCGCAGTCATGTTGGAACAGGAAGGGGCCATCCCCAAACTGTTCCCACAAAGTTGGGAGCATGAAATTGTCCAAAATGCCTTGGTATGCTGATGCCTTAAGAGTTCCCTTCACTGAAATTAAGGGGCTAAGCCCAACCCCTGAAAAACAACCCCACACCATAATCCCCCCTCCACCAATCTTTACACTTGGCACAATGCAGTGAGGCAAGTACCGTTCTCCTGGCATCCACCAAACCCAGACACGTCCATCGGATTGCCAGGCAGAGAAGCGTGATTCGTCACTCCAGAGAACACATCTCCACTTCTCTAGAGTCCAGTGACGGCGTGCCTTACACCACTGCATCTGACGCTTTGCATTGCACTTGGTGATGTGAGGCTTGGATGCAGCTGCTCGGCCATGGAAACCCATTCCATGAAGCTCTCTGCGCACTGTTGTTGAGCCAATCTGAAGGCCACACGAAGTTTGGAGGTCTGTAGCTATTGACTCTGCAGACAGTTGGTGACTTCTGCGCACTGTGCGCTTCAGCATGCGCTGACCCTGCTCTGTCATTTAACGTGGCCTACCACTACGTGGCTGAGTTGCTGTTGTTCCCAGTTGCTTCCAATATGTCATAATACCACTAACAGTTGACCGTGGAATATTTAGTAGCAAGGAAATTTCACGGATGGACTTATTGCACAGGTTGCAACCTATCACGGTACCACACTTGAATTCACTGAGCTCATGAGAGCCACCCATTCTATTACAAATGATTTTATACACCTGTGGCCATGGAGGTGATTGGAACACCTGAATTGAATGATTTGGACGGGTGTCCCAATACTTTTGGCAACATAGTGTACACTCAGATGTCTGTTGCTGTGTTGGCTTTCAATGAGCCAACCAGGTATGTTTCCTAGATTGTATAATAAAAATATCATAGAACGGGTTTCCAAATTAAGCAGTAAAACCCAATTTGGTCTGTTAAGCCATGGCTAAGAACTATGGGGGACCAAAGAGAGAAACACTCCTGAACTGTTGGATTCCCGGTGGCCTTTGGGGACCAATTCTCTGAAATGTAGTTGCATTAAGCAGCACTGGTGGCAGGAAGAGAAAGTATGTACCCCCTTCTGTACAGGTATGTATTGGATTAAAAATGTTAAAATGTGACAAGGTCTCTAAGTGCAGTAACCCATAGTGTATCTTGTGGGTTATTACACCTACGAATTATTACTCTTTATAAATGAGGCTGTTGGAAGTCATTCCTGCATTTTATTATCTTTCATACTCTAAATAACACAGGCTCCTTGAAAAGATTATACTATTAATGGAAGCAAAATATGTGCTTGGTTCCAGCAGCCTGACTTAACTGTTTAGAACTCCAGATCTGTTCTGCAGAATATTACTAACAAATCTTTCAGTAAGCAGACAGTGATTAAGTAGCGCTCGCTATGGTTATGATGCTCTGGAGCACTATTAACCATTATAATCTTGTTCATGATGCTACTCAGCAGTATGTCTGTAAATTGTAAGTTTCTGTATACTCTGCCGGCTGCAATACATCATAATGTGTTCTAAACCTGCAGCTTCCAATCTGCACTGCACTGGCCTCGTCTCAGGATGGGGTAAAAAGCAGTCCTAGCGTACCAATATATGCCAACTCACATCCCCGAAGCCTGCAACATATTCTACATCATTACTGCTATTCTATCTTAGTACCATGCAAGGGCCTGAGAATTAGAAGCTGTTATATTATAAGGGCTGAATAAACATACTAAATCAGACAATGTCTGAGAAGCCAGTTTGAACGTCTCGGTCTGATGTTTCTAATATGCTAAAATTTGAGGCAGGCATTGTCATTACTATCTTTTTCAGAGATAGCTGCTTATCGGGTCTCCAGGCAGACTCCAAGCCCCTGGGATAGAAGGAACCACTTAAGCATAAAGCACAGTTAAAGTCACAGAATTAGATATCATGCTCACAATTTCCATTTTTAAAATCTTATCTCTGCTTTCTGTTAACAGCATTTGTACAGGGTACCTAAATATGACTTTGCAGTCCAATGTGCTCTCAGTAATCAGAACTTAGAAGCAGAGGTGGTCAGGCATACTCCTCTCTCCTTCTCTGCAATATAGGTTTGTGTGAGGACTCTTGAGATGAGGGGTCTGGCTGTCAGTTGGCTATGTTTGCAAAAAGCAGCATTTTCACTGAAACTTTAATTAAAATCAATCACAAACCATAACATGCTGGGATTATAAAGAAATAAAAAGGTTTGAGACGTCAATTGGACTTTAAGTGATTATTATGCTACAGTGATGTCACTTGTGCCTTGTTAACCTGATAAGCTGCTTTCTTGCAAGTATTAACCTGTCCATGAAACGGCTACCTCCTCTGAATGTGGGTGACAGGTACCCTTTATGGAGTGAGCATGTAGCTTGACCAAGTAGCCCCCCCTCTTAAACAGGAGACTAGCGGGCTGTCTGCATTCCTACAGAGCTGTCATTTTTACACCAGCTCCCCTCAGCACTGCATGTTTATTCTAAACACCGAATGGCATATTGCACAGAACTTGTTCTCAAGTCTGTTTACAGGGAACAACGCTCCATTTATTCAGCATCAATCTGCTCAATTTGGATGTTCTAAAAAGAGGTATCTGACAGGGCTGAGAATAAGCTCCGGGATACAACTTTACTTGGGAGGGACTTGATGTGGCTTGTAAATGACTATGCAGCAAGGCAGAGGCTACATAGCGTAAAGACAGGTTATGTATATCCAGGAGTTACACAAGTATAAACATCAGTCTATTAAATGCTTAATGTGTGAGGCTGTGTTCCTTCATGATATAAAAGAGACGTATATTAAAAGATGGCAGTATAAATATATTATCTTCTGAAAGTAAAGCTAAGCGGACTTTGGGGCCATTTGATAAAAACCCAACAAAAGCAAATGGAAACAGAAATAGTGTGTACCTCCCCTCAATGATCAATACAGATTGTTTATTCTCTAGGGAAATGGAACAAGGAAACCCAAGTTTTTATAAGTAGGACATAATGTTAATTTGCTTTAAAGCTGAACTCTAACCCAAATGTTGTTCTTAGCTTTGTAAAGATTGGGGGAAATGTAAGAGCCTCTGTATTGCTGTGTTTAACCCTTCTGGAAGCTTTACCCTCACCTCTGCCACCTGGACAAGGGTAAACTATGCTGCCAGGGCAAAAAGACACAGACTGCAAGAAAAAAAAGATGTTCTGACATTTCCCAACTCTACTAAAAACATGGAAAGAAAGAAGAAAGGAAGGAAGGAATCCTCTCTCATCACATGATTCTGTACTGTGCAACGTCTTCTATGTGCAGAATGCAGTACATGCAGCAGGGAAACAATTAAACTGCATTTTCACACCTTCAGATTCAGGGCTGCTCAGAAAGCAGAGATACTAGAGAGCAGAACCAGCCAGCTGCACCACTGAAATTCCATGCAGGAAACTGGAGCTGTACAGCATCCACATATAGCGTTTGCGTTTCCCGCACGGTTTACCGCACAGAAGACTGTGCAGGACGAAAACGCTAATATTTTAAAATCCGCACGGATGCCGATCGTTTGCAGCTAGTAAATAGCCGCGACTGTGCGGAATCCGCCGGATTATCACGTTAGTACTATTTTGTGGGCCGCGCAGTTTTGTATCGTGCGCTCCCCGTAATGGTCTGAAGGATGCACATTAAAGTGCATTTTATTCTCTGTTTAGAGCGGCTCCACGTGTATCCTTACAGCCGAATATGAGCAGAGAGCCGCTCAGGTGTGAATGGAGCCTTAGACTGTGTCCTCTGACTCAGCTACATTACCAATTTATTGTAATAATTCCATGGAGTCTTCCTTTTGTACCAAAGCTGCTGAGAAGGATTATATACTTTACACTACAGAAATGATCCATACAACTACAAAGATCATCACTAAACATTCTCCAAACCTTCTCATAATACCATGGAAAATAACTTCTGTACTATTGTTCACACAATAGTCTGAGAGCTTTGTTAGGCATCTGCTGGTATTCACCATACTGATGAATTTGGGATTACCACACCATGATACGCGAGGACAGGTTAGGATTAAACAATAGTTTATATTGTACATTACCTGTACCAGGAGTTTCAGGCGTGTGATCCTCTGAAAAGGCAGGATAAGGAAAGAGGAAAAAGGAAGGCCTTTACAAATAGGATTAGTCTCCAAATGAGCTACGGCGTCCCGGAATTCTGTCCTTTCCTGACTGACAACGAAAAATCAAAGAAAAACATAAATATATGTAGGAGAGATTAAATGAACATCCAGAAGAACACAGAGATGGTGATACAGTAACATTTTACATGATCTTAGTCTATAATCTTGTTAAACAGTGTCATCTCCATACCAATCAAATAGGATACAAAAAAAGGATAAAAAAAGCTAATAAACGTTCTACAGAAATAAAATGGGTTTTTTTGTAGCTAATTCTAGAATGGGAAGATACTGGTTATTTACAAAAAAATGTAAATGATTGACCTTAAAGTGACATTAAACCCTCAGATTTTTTAACATAAACCAATACTGTAATGTGTGCCTTACTGTAATCCATGGTTGTTTCCCTTCTCTTTGCTGCTATTCCTTTTAAATCCTCATGTCTTCTCATGCTGGGGGAGAACTTCCCTTTTCAGCTCAGGGCCTCTTCCTGTAGTGCTGGCTCAGGTTACAAGCCTATACAAACGGATGCACAGACACCATGTATCCATTCCTGAGACAAGGCAGTCTGCTGCAAAACAGAAGTTCTGCCCAGCATGAGAACAGATACAGATTTAAAAGGAAGAGCAGCAAAGAGAAGGGAAACAACCATGAATTACAGTAAGGCACACATTACAGTATTGTTTTATGTTAAAAAATCTGAGGGTTTAATGTCACTTTAAGTTGTGTGCTATTTTAGCGTTGTACACTAACAAAAAGGAAAATCCAACAACAGGACCATGGCCAATATTATGCATTGCAGTATATGTCAATAAAGGCACCTTGCTAACGGATTCATACGAATCTACCAATGATGTAATGATGGCAACACAGCATTAGCATTTGCAATCAGATCCACATTTACAGCAGTAGTTCTTAGTTGCTCATTAGAGTTGTTATTCTACAAAATTTTAAGCAGATGTTAATATTTCTATTGGTGTTTAGGGGCTACTGGCTGCTTTGCAGCTGAGCAATGCAAGTGTCAGTGGTAGCCTTTATGGCTTCCTCTTGCTCAGATGAAGACATGAATGCATAGCCAGAAACACCAGATGTAGAATGCAGTGTATTCTTGCACTTTCCTTAGCCCTTCATGAACCTTGTCTGAGGCTACAAAGGATGATGCTGGCTCTATGTAGAGAACACATCTATGAGAGAACACATACTCAGCTGTAAGTTTATATTATATGAAGCTCACGATGGTAGAACATGGGACAACTAGTCTTCAAGTCCGTTGCCCAAAATGTTAGGCATAGATAGGGCTAGTCAAACATGCATTCTTTGTACATTGTGCACTGGGGAGTAGTCTTAGGGGTGCCCAAAAGCCCTGCATTTCTAGAGACTAGTAGATACCCAGAGTAATAGCTGCTAGATGTTACAAGTGTGGTGTTACATTACTTTGTAAGGAATTAGATATCTAAATACCCTACAGCCTTTCAAAAGTCGAAGGTAATTCTATACATACTGAACATGACATGATGACAAATTTGGTGCCGTTCCTGTAAATTGAGTAAGCTTAGGTACAAAGCAGCCATAGGTAGCTGATCTCACACTTTCAAACTCGTCAGCAAAAAAAAGACTGAAAAACTAACTAAGCTGTTTTAGTCTACTTAGGTAATAAACAGTTTGTTTTTTTGTTGTATACATTTGCAATACATCTGAAGCCACACAGGCACATCTGAAAAGTGTGGTCCTTAACTACCCAGATAGCAAGCAATTGAGCTGCAAGTTTGAAAATGACTTGCTAAACTATTGCAGACTTGCCAAGCTTCACAATTTTGTTGCACAATTACAGCAAGTCTACATTGCAAGTCTCCAGACCAGCGAGCTTGCAGAGCTCTTGCTAAGACCTGCAGGACTTAGGGTTAGGGGTAGACTTGCCAAGCAAATTTGCTACAAATTCAAAAAGTGTCAACTAGAACTTGTGCTGCGAGTGTTCTGCAAGTCTACAACTTGCCAGGAATGTGTGCAGCAAGTTGACAAGAATTACAATTTAACCCTGACACAAGTTTGTGGCAAGTTATCCTTGTTATCTGGGTATTTGAGTTCCCAACTATGGGACATTTATAGAAGGCTCACCTGGAGGCAGACCTTTCGCAACACACCAGAAGCCCAGACATCGTGTTTGCAAGACATCTGAAGCTGCCTCCACAGAATAAACCATCACCACAGTATAAACTACTTATGATTTCCATCTACTACTTCAATATCGAAGAATTTGTATTAATACCGTGTTATAATGCAATTTCCCAATACTATGTTCCCTTCACTTCAGCAATCTTATCAATATTACCTTTGGGTTTAGTGCCTCATATAGTCTTTACATTTGTATGATTCGCCCGTTTTATCAAAAGAGATCACTCAGGAGTATCAAAAATTTGTGACTAGATTCTATTAATGGAATCACAAATCACAATTATTTCAGTCATAGGGGGAGTTTAAAAACATCCTGTGTCATAGCTCCTGGTTTTGTCACGACACAGTAAGAGACCTCATTAGTCCTGCTAAAACAGGGGTGTTCCCATTACTCCTGAGAGATTGCCTATGATACAAAACAAACTAAAAATTCAAAAAGGATGTGTAGGTCTAGGAACTATTGGGGCTACATACTAGAGTCCTCTAAAAACAGTCAGTAGCTTAAAATAATTTCTGTAGCTTACATATTCAATGAATTATCAAAGATATGTGGTCTACCTGAGAAATCATTAGCTACAAGATGATGTCAGATAAAAGTACATGAGACAAGGCTATTCATGGGGGGATGGCGGATCACAATGTGAAAGCACACTGCGCTCACAAGTTCAAAGGACAATTTTATAGTGTAATCTCGTTTTAACGGGGCACTAGTACAGAGACTGCAAAATAATGGAAAGGGTGGAAAGGGTGAGCCTATACTAGCATGTTCAAAGGTTGATAACCTATTTCCTCACTATTACAGATTACATCACTGAATACTTCACAGAGTCCAAGCCATGCAATAAAGAACATACAGCAAAGATATAGGGAGAGACAGAATGACAAACATGAGAGGAGAGCATAGGTTGCTTGGCTTCATTTCTGCCATTGCTGAACTCACAGCAGCTTCCTGTATGCTCTTTCTTGATAGGTCTGGTTGCAGACGTAGGTGACGTAGACCCCAAAGTGATTGACTGAATGTTCATAGACAATGTCGCAGACATCTGAAATCACCAAATTTTCCTCAAATCTTTGTTCCAAATCCAGAAGAAACCTAAAAACATAGGTAGTGATAAAAATCAATGACAAATGTTTTACTACCATTTAGGACACTGATTATTACACAAAATTCAGAAAAATTATTAAGTACAAAAAGGGCTCATGTATAGGAAATTGAGGCAAGAAGCGTTTCTAACATGTTATAGGAGTTAGTCCTTATTTCTGTAATCTGCAGTAACTAGTAAACAAGACCAGATATAAAAAAAAGACATTGGAGAGTTGTGCCAAGGGACACCTATGCCCAAAGGTGTCTTCTCAAGAAAACCTGTCTTATATTTTGACTTTTTTTTAAAAAAAGGTTCTGTCCCTTCTTCAAAATGGACCTTGAAGAAGTTCTGCAATTTGTTTTTATATTTTCTTGTCAATAGTGCTCACACGGTTACCTAGTGAATTGCTCAGCAGTTTTCCTAGACCTGTTTTGGATTTTAAATGGGTTCTACCTTCACTGAGATAGAGCCAGGTAAGCTAGTCCCAGTAAAAGAATAGATAACTGCGAGAGCGCTGCTAATGATGTAAAACTCTTTGTACCATCAGATTATATACAAATTTTCATTCGGATTTTTCATTATTACGTTTTTCGGGTCCAAAAGTCATTTCGTTTCGGGATACGGACCAAATCCGAAATTTCGTTAGTGGTACTATGTACGAATTTTCGTTCCGAGCGAATTTTCGTTGCAGCAGTGACATTAGACAATCAGACACTTTTTTTACAGTCCGCAGAATAAAAAAAAAAAAGAGTGTGAGGTTCCCCCCTCAATTGATACCTTTAGATACCCCTCCTCCCCAAGTTAAAAATAAAAAACGTTAGGAGGAACCCCACCCCCCCAAAATAGATGGCTCCATCGATGTAATCCAGCGTCAATCATGATGAACGACTTGCCAAAATAAAAAATGTCCCGCCACGCACCGACCCGTCCGAAATGACAGCTCCAGCCTGAATGTAAACAAATGGGCGGAGCGAGCCGTGACGTCACGTGGCTTGTTCCACCCATTTGACATTCTGATCTGTCATAGAACACAATTTGTGAGCTCCCGAATGCCATTTGGGTCTGTGAGCCGAGGTGTCATATGAATAGTATTATGACACCTCAGCTCCCAGACCTGAATGACATTTGGGAGCTCACGCATAGCATTCCGGGGCTCCCGAATGCTATTGTGTTCTATGACAGATCAGAATGTCAAATGGGCGAACGAGCCTAGTGACGTCACGGCTCACTTCGCCCTTTTGTTTACATTCGGGTCAGAGCTGTCATTTTGCGGCGAGTCTTCGTCGAGTTCAGACTGGTCGGCATGCGGCGGGACTTTTTATTATTTCAGCGGGTTTGTGGGCATCGCTCATCGTGATTGATGCTGGATTACATCCATGGATCCATTTTAAAAAAAAATAAAGGACTTGTCAAAAACTTACTTTTTTTTCAATTAAAGGATCTTTTCAAAATGTGTGCTCTCTTTTCTCTCTTTAACCCTTTAGTGAATGAGTAGGGGTACAAGTACCTCATACTCATTCAAAGGGGGGGTGGGGGTATCTGGGTGCCCCTTAATTAAAGGGATACCCCAATGCAAATAAGCCCCCCTGCCCGCAGACCCCCACAACCACCGGGCCAGGGTTGTGGGAAAGAGGCCCTTGTCCCCATCGGCATGAGGACACCCTCCCAATGCCGAGGGCACATGGCATGGTATGGCGCATGGAGGGGGCGCTTGATCGCCCCCCCTTTTCCTGCCCTACCAGGCGTGTGCTCGGATCAAGGGTCTAGTAGGAATTTTAGGGGGACCCCACATCCCCCCCATTCTGGGGGGGGATGGGGTTCCCCCTGAAAAACCCTACCAGACCTAGAGGTCCTGGTATGACTTTTAGGGAGAACACCACACACTTTTTTTGTCACTTGGGGGGAGTCCCTCCTAACATTCCTACTAGACAAAAAGGGTCTGGTATCAATTGGGGGGAACCTCACACTTTCTTTTTTGCGGACTGTAAAGTCATAAAGTAATTTTTTTTCCTTTTCTTTAATGTCACTTTGCTGCCACAAAATTTCTACTCGATTCGGGCCATAGTAAACATTAGGCACCAGTGAGGATAGAAGACATTGGTCTCTGCAGCTGAGAAAAATTTGTGTTCTTTCTTCCTGCGGTGTCATTGATTATTTAATCCAAGAAGACCCCAAAAAATGCATTTTTTTAAAGTTTGGTTCAAACAAACACCCGAGACACCATGCTTAATGCCAATGAAACAGAACTAATGTGTGCAATCACCCATCCTCCATCCAGGGAGGTATCTAATTGAAATGAGATGCCTGGATCAACTGATCTACAGTATCAATCAGATATCAGGGTGAGCCCCGAAAAGCAAGTTTCTGAAGCAGAATTCTTGCCCTCCCTCCACACCAGTCCAGAACACTAATGTACAGGCAAACTGTTCAAAGAGTAGAACCAGCAGCTGAAAAGAAGAGTTTAGCAAAGGTTCAACAACTGGGATAACCATTGCCATCTTAAGAAGAGGTACAGGTGGCTGCACCAATGGTGCGGGCCATCCACTTTTTAACCAATTCCACAGGGAATAGACAGCAGTCATCTTCTTTAGCTCTAGTAGAAAGGCTTAGGGAGGACTTACCTTTCACTGATAGACAGGACCTCCAGTACATTGGAGAATATGAAGTGTATTTCTGACGGGTGCAGAGTGGCTTTCAACCTCTCACTCTCCATGAAATGGGACACAAGAAGGCGCAGGCTCTTGTAATAAGATGCTTCAGATGTCACTAGTTCAAACATTGCCTAAAGGTACAACAATAATTTGAGTAAACTCCATCATATGTGATCAAATTACAAAATTCAACCATTTCTAATAAAAGAAGTCATTGTGGGAAAGCAGCCAGGTTTGCAACTTAAACTTTGACTAGGGAGAATTCTAAAACAGACTGAGGTGTCATTAATTAATGAATGTGTTTCTCCACAGAATAACTACAATGCTGAGCTTAAATGTCACCCCAATTAGGTGTTATTTCATAAATCCACAGAGGTACAGGTCCACTCCTCTTTCCAAGCTCGTCCTCTTTTCCCCAATGTGTTGCGAACCAATCAGGAGTTTATGATGTATGGACCATCCCTGAATCTCGAGGCTGACATGCATACAGTATATTCACTCACACCAAACAAACAGGGTGGAAGATGCAGTCATACCATGGTCACATTCTGTCAGGGTACCCTGCACAGGCGTTCTCACACCACATGCAGGTACCCACACAGGATGACCAAATTAATATGCCCACACAGGATAGGGTTATATGTACAGTTTATTGGTTCCACATCAACAAAACTACAAACCCAACAAAGAGGGGTAACAGGCCTGCAGATGTACAGCAGGCCTCGGGATACCAGAAGAGTGGTCAGGTACAAGCCGAGTCGTTAACAGGAGGGCAGCGCGGTACAGGAACAGGATTGATGAAGAGTGGTCAGGTGCAAGCCGGGTCGTCAACAGGAGGGCAGCGCGGTACAGGAACAGGATTCAACGGAGAGTGGTCGGGTAACAAGCCGGGTCGGTGACAGGTTTTCAGATAGGAAGCAAGGTTCAGGAAGCAAGGTTCAGGAAGCAAGGTTCAGGAAGCAAGGTTCAGGAAGCAAGGGCATCAGTCAGGTTTAGCAACACAATACTGACCCAGCTTCCTGACTGCAGGGAGGGCCTAAATACCCTCCCAGGAAGCACCAGGTGATGGGATGATCAGTCACAGCTGGGGCACACCCGCAGGTGAGTACCGGAGCTGCAGGTTCCTTACAGTTCCTGGCTGCTGGAGACACCCGCAGGCGAGCACAGGAACTGCAGGACCCGGCTCCAGCGCCACCTGGGGGTGCTCTGGATCCTGACAGTTTCATGTATGTGCGTGATTCTCATATGGCAACCATGCACACATTTTACAGACACTGTTTTGGCAAATCTGTTGTGAATAAGGCCACTTGCATTAGAAATATGTATAATCGGGTGGCCTGATCTGCCTTGTATGGCCAATCAAAGGAAGCCTTCTAAGAGAAACACAGAGGCTGCCATTGCTGACATCTCCTGAAAATGCCTGGCTGTTATACTAATCCAGTTATTTTTGGGTGACTGACGAGTAACAAGTGTGCAGATCAGGAGTTATGATTTTACAGACTGTATACTTGTTTTGCATCAGTGATTCATAGACTTGAGTAGTGGCAGCACATGTATTTTTCTCAGTAAAGTTTTCCCTTAGGAATCACAAGATCATAGTGTAAATAACAAAATTCCGACACCATCACCTGCAGGAAAAAAACAAATGCTGGATTTCAAGTCCTGAATCCTGGGTCATTCTACGATACACTAGAAGGGCAACCCGTCCTGTCAGAGATTGAACAGGTTCCCCAGTACAGGAGGGGTACACTTAGGTATACACTTCTTTGGTTGCCTAAAGAATGTGTATAATCACTTCAAATACAACAGATCAGTATTGTTTGGCAAAGGCATTTGGGTAAAAGCTTCTAAACTTACCTCTTGAAGTTTGACTTCTTGTGGCTGCAGGACAGTCAGGACTCTGCTATTTTTGATTTCTGGCAGATCCTGCCACAGGTTGAAGCCAGAAGATGTGTTTTGTAAACGGCTTAGCGTTGAATTAGACCGGTGAGGTCCTGTAGCTGAAGGAGACCCCTGTGTTGGCGATTTAGGGCTATCTGGAGTTTTAGCAGGTTGAGCATACTTGTCCTGAAGTCTTCGAGCTTGAATCTCATTTTGTGTGGATTTATCTCTGTATTCTTGGTAAAGGAACTCTCCAGAAGAAAACAAAAACATATCGTACTTTAGGTAATGTTTTTGTGAATAAAGAATAAAAACTCAGAGCGATTTGCTTATTATAACAGCTTACGGTATAAAGCTCATTAATTAACCAGAAAGTATACAGACACTTTTAATATAGCATACATAAAAATCTAATTGCCTTGGTGCCATATAAACTGACATGAAAAAGTGGTTTTAAAATTGTGATTCTCATTCTCTGTGTCGTGAATGCCTTAAGCACTATTTAAATTAGCTGCTAATGTGGGCAGAAGCTCCTCTGTCACTATTCTTCTATGATTATTTTGAGTTAATTTACTAAAAGCAAAAAGACAGATGATGTTACCCATTGTTCCTTAGAAGCACAGATCTCATTCTGTAATACCAAATCTAAATTCCAGTGCTTGGAGTGGTGTGGTACCTGTGCATGCAGCAGATCCGCCTGATACCAAGTCACAAGAGATAGATTCAAACAGCACAGATAGTGGAATACCATGGAACTTTAATTGGCCATGATAACCCTTCCAGCTCAGAACGGGCTCATGTGGATGGGTGTTATATTCCTGCATTTGACATAGGTTTCTAGAGCACTGGGCTGACTTTTCATTTTAGTACAACCCATATGCTAAACATGGCTTGTACCTAAATGGAAGGGGGTTTGCTGTGCTAGGGGAGAGGTTTATGGGAAGGTTGGAGGAGTATTTAAAGCTCGTTTCCAGCTTAACAAGGGTATTTAAAAAAAACAACATATGTCAGCAATGTACACCAAGTGTTTGAGGGGGAGGAAGAGTTAGAATATAGTAGGGCAAATGAGTCAGACAGCAATGGAGAGTGGAATGGGGGAAGATATGGAGATTACAGTACTATTTGTACTGCAAAAAATATAGTAAATACAAGTGCAAAATGCAACTGTGGATTAAAGTGCTTGTTGACCAATGCCAGAGTTCTGTCAAGTAAAAAAGGAGAGTTGGAGAGCTTTGTGCATGACGAGTACTATTATTCCAGCAATTATATGGAAACTGCTAAATCTTGACTTTATTCTTGATTAGGCTGTTAATATTCCTGGCTATGCTCTCGTTCAGGAAGACTGGGTAAAACAAAAAGGTGGCAGTGTTGGTCTCTATGTGAGAATGGATCTAAAGATGAGTGTGAATGAGGACCCTATTGATGGAGAATGTGATGTAGTGGAGGCATTATGGGTGGAGATACATTGAGGTATACATACTGCCAAGTTATGAATTTGTTGAAGGCTCTCTAGTGTTAATGAGGAAGTAGGGACTTATCTTCTTACACAGATAGAAAGGGCTGCAAGGGCTGGGGCAATGACAAAATGGGAGATTTTAACTACCCTGACATTGACTGGTGTAATGGCACTGCTAGAACAGTAAAAAGGGAGGAAATGTATAAACCTATTGCAAGACTGTTTTATGGTACAGTTCACAGAAGCCCCAATTCGAATAATTAGAATAGGATAGGAGCTTTTGAAAAAAATGTTTTCATGAAAGGAACACTTTAACCATTTTAAAGTTACAAAGAATATAACAAAAGATGTAAAAAGGAAATCAAGATAGCAAAAATAAAAAATGAACAACTGGTTGGAAAAAAGAGTAAGACACCCCCCTTTTTAATAGTAAAAACTAGTAAAGCTAGTAAAAATAGAACTTGAATCCATAATGGGCATGGCTGTGCTACAGCCTCCAATGTTCCAAAAAGGCTCAAAATTGATATGGTCTAGAAATAGTTAGACAAAGCAAAGGTGAATAATGCAAGCAACGGACAGCACCAGAGGATCCTAAATTCAACCAAGCAAATAAACCTAGCGTCCGCAATAAGAATCTCGCCATGACAACCATCAGCAATGGTTAATGTCAGTAAGGCAGCCCCTGCATATCTGGGCCCCCCTGATGGTTCAATTGGACTCATTTAACCCCCTATCGGCAACCAAGGCAGGTACACAGCTAACTGCACATTATGTCGCTTATTGTCATTAACACATTTCTATATTTAATTATCTCAGACAGCTGCCCTACCTTCCATAGCTATCTGACTGGATGCTTATTGTGGCTCTCACTGAGAAATATATGCATTTGTTGCTAGATTAGTGTACTGTGTATTTACAGTTAACTAATTCTGGGTCCATACACCTAGATCTGAACTGCTAGCAGATCATTTGCTTCTAGGCATTTGCTTCTAAGTTTACTGACACAAAAAGGGCAAATTGTGTCTTTTAGGCCCCATTTACATGTGGCGATTTGGGATTCCTACGGCAGGAATCCTAGATTTCCCATTTAGATGCGCCCGCTTTACCCATTCAAGTTAATCACCGGATAACAAGGGCAATTGTCTCCTTCAGGCTCCATTTACACTGAACGATTTGGGATTCTTGCTGCAGGAATCCCAAATGTTCCTTTTAGATGCGGCCGCTGTACCCATTCAAGCTAATGACTGGGTGACAGGGGCTGCATCTGTATTCCGAACTGCTGTCACCCAGTCATTAACTTGAACATGTACAGGGGCTGCATCTATACACCTGGCATTCCTGCCACAGGAATCCATCCTGCTGCAGTAATGCCAGAATGCCCAGTGTAGACATATAGCCTATATAACTTGGTGACCCTTGTGCAACTTATCTTGTTACATTTTAGTGTAATACTACATCTAATGACCGCAGTAGAATGAGGGACAACAAAGGAAGGATAACTCCAAATTTATACAGTACTCTAACTACAAAAGAAGGAGTGCAGGAAAAGAAATCATATACAAAATAATTCCAGGCATGCACAATCTATGAGGTCACACATATACATATCCAATTTAGGTAAAAGCCAGCATTTAAAGCAGCAAGGCATCTTGGACCACTGCTGTAACTTTACACTTGCCAGGAACAGTAAAATGGTTTCCATGTCAACCGCCCGAGAACTATACATCTCCACCGACTGAGATGGTAAGTACTAATACGCCAGACAAGAAATACATGGAATTGCATTAATCTATACAATTAACCAGAAAAGCTGAGCCAATCAAAAGCTGAGCCAATCAAAAGCTGAAAACTTTGGATGTCTCAACCAATCAAAACCAGATTCATTGTTTTCTGTCGTTGTCATGTTGAGTCCTTATTCAGCTGTGAACCACGGGGAAAGAATATATGAGCTGGAACATTTTGTTCGAGTCTCACATGTAATGGGACATGAATAACCAAGCCGAAAAATCTCTACTGCAATTTTGGCTCTGAAAATAATTTGCCTAGTGGCCCAAATCTCTCTTAAGCATAAACTAAATGAGCTAAGGGAAGGGAATAAAGGTGCTGGTCAAAATAGTTAGGGTTAATTAAAAATGTAACTACAGATTTTAAGGTTAAAAACGAATTAGGGATAAATACAAAATATATTCTGCGGTGTCTCCCCTTTAAAAAGGCACTAGAATCGTGTTTCTGGTACAAAGCATTTATTTTTTAATTTGGTGCTACAAACATGAACGTATGCAAAAAAAGTTTACATACAACAATAAAAAAAAATTCAGCAAAACAAATGCTAAGAGAAACAGGGCATAAAGAAGTTAATAAAAACTAATAGGGGTTCACTAAAATTTAATAAAAGGCTAAAATGGTGTTTAAAAAAAGTTTTTTTGTTTATGTTTTTTTATTTACACATAACAGTTATTTTTGAATGAAAGTTACAGTATTAGCTTTCATTCATAAATGAATGCGGACAAGCACTCAAACTATCACAGCCCGCTCCTGCAGAATACACAGGAAGAGTGAATGGGCTGCTCTATGCACGAGCTGCGACAAACTCACAAGAATGTAGATAAATGTGACAATCGCTGTCGCTCTTTGCAAGTGTGAACAGGGGCATAGAGACAGGTAAACTAGATGTTTCAGAACACCTTGGAATCTCTATTTTGGCAGCAGATGTAGGGCCTCGGGTTACCCAACTCTGCAAAAAAAAATAAAAAAATGTGCTGCTAAGTGTAACTATTAAAATAATAATTGTACATGCCCACGTACAGAGAATACATACATGTAAAATATAGGTTAAATTTTCACCTCAGCAATGGAAATCTTACCTACGTCTCCTATTAATGTTTTCCACGAGTCTGCTGGTGCAGGGTAGATAGTTGGCAGTGCCTCTGGGGTAGAGCTGGCACATTCAGTAGAGGAAGGGCTGTCTGCTGTAGGATTGTTAGAATCTTCAGAGTGAAGATATTCCCTGTAAATAATAAAATCTATGATTAGCTAATACAGTGAGACATTTAAGAAGACTTCCCTGGGGTGCAAAAATACTTCAGGCCTTTATTTTCCTTCAGAGTTTTATCAACAACATCAGAACTTTGCGGCCAACTCACCCAACCTCCCTCTGCGGCCATTTTTTTAGATCATACCCCTTGATCCAAAAACACAGAAGTCAAGTTCTGAACACAAATTATTATGTATACAATGCTGGCCAAATCTCACCCAGTTTTAAATTCTAAGGGGTCTATTCACGAAGCAGCCGAAGGATTAAGCCCTAGCTTCGGCTAGCTTCGGCCCCAGGACCCCTTCGGTTCAGTAGAACCGAAGGGCTGCTGTACGGGCTATAGTGAATAGCCCGTACAGCAGCCCTTCGGTTCTACTG